TCTGCAAAAGCAACCTGTGCCTTCATCATGCACTACTCCGGTGTCATGTCAGGCTCCAGAGTTTCAAAGTAGTTCATTGTGATTGGTCTTTCAAGTTCAGTTGTTGTTTTGGTAGCGGGATAGAACCCTGAAGCTTCCTACTTTCCATTTCCATGTTATTTCTTCAAAGATCACTGAGGCTATTATTTCCCCCTCCCCAAGTCTTTTTTCTTCAAACTCGGATAGTTTCTGTTTCTTTACCTGAAAGTTACTAATCTATTGTTGTTGTCGTTATGTGCCGTGGAGTCAATTCCGACTCATAGCGACCCTGTACAGGGTTTCTGAGGCTGGACATCTTTACGGGAGCAGAAAGCCTCATCCTTCTCCCGCGGAACAGCTGGTAGTTTCAAACTGTTGACCTTGTGGTTCACAGCCCGATTAGTAACCACTACGCTACCAGAGCTCATCTATTGTTGTTAGGTGCCATCGAGTCCATTCTGACTCGATGGCACCTAACAAACAGACCTTATACACAAACAGAACAAAATACTGAACCAACCTCACAATCTTTGCTACATTTGAGCCTGTTGCTGCTGCCACTCTGCCAATTCATCTCTTCTGGGGTCTCCCTCTTTTTTTGCTGACCCTCCACTTTACCAAGCACTTTACCTCCACTTCTCCAGATGCTGGTCCCTCCTGATAATATATTCAAAGTGTGAAAGACAAAGTCTCACCACTTCTTCCAACATAGACCTGTGAACTCTTCTGGCAGTTCATGGTATTTTAATGTTCTTTTCCAACACCAGAACTCAAAAGTATCAGTTCTTCTGCAGTCGTCCTTACAGTCCAACTGTCACATGCCTGTGAGGCTATGAAAATACCATGGCTTGTGTCAGGCTCACCTTATCCCTCATTCTTACTTCTTTGCTCTTGAATACTTTACAGAGGTCTTGTACAGCAGATTTGCCTAATGCAATATGTCGTTTGATTTCTTGACTGCTGCTTCCAAGAGTGTTGATGGCAGATTCAAGCGTAATGAAGTCTTTGACAACTTCAATTTTTTCTCCATTTATCATAATGTTATTTATTGGTCCAGTGGTGAGGATTTTTGTTTTCTTTACATTGAAGTGCAACCCATACTGAAGGCTATGGTCTTTGATCTTCACCAGTGAATATTTAAATCCTCTTTGCTTTCATCAAAGTTGTATCATCTGCATATTGTAGTTTGTTGATGAGTCTTCCTCTAATCCTGTTGCCACATTTTTCTTCATATAATCTAGCTTCTTTGATTATTTGCTTAGCATAGAGATTGAATAAGTGTGGTGAAATAATACAACCCTGGCATACACCTTTCCTGATTCTAAACCATTCCGTGTCCCCTTGTTCTGTTTGAATAACTCCCTCTTGGTCTATGTACAGGTTCCTTATGGGCACAATTAAGTGTTCAGGAAAACTCATTCTTCGTACTGTTGTTCATGGTTTGTCTAATCCACACAGATGAAAGCCTTTGCAGATTAGTTTGACTAATGTATAACACTGCAGCATCTAATTGTATTTAATCACATCTGAGTAACTTTTCTTTCTGAGATTCTTGTTTTATATTTCTTGGTGTTGTACTCAGACTTTATTTTTTTGTATCTTTTCCTCATACTCTTCATGTTTTTCTTTAAATTCTTGAGCATATTAGGCATATTTATGATTGGTTGAAGTCCTGTGCTAATCCACTTCTTTCATTTCGAAGTCTATTTTTATTGACTGATTTTTCTCCTGGCTATTGGGCAAACTCTCTTACTGCTTCATGTGTTTAATAGCTTTTGACTAAACATTGAATGTGAAACTACTGCATTCTTGAATGTATAGATTTTGTTGTCTTTTTTAAAAAAATGTTGGACCTTTCATCAGTTGGCAGTTATTTGTTTGTCACTTTGATCCTTTTAACCTTTTATTGTATGTTGTTGTTAAGTTCTGTAAAGTTGGTTCCAACTATGAAAATCATAGCAATTTTCAAGGAGTAGCTGGTGAGTTTGAACTGCTGACGTGTTTCAAACTGACCATGTGGTCTAGTGCTTTATCCTATAGTGCCATCGTAAAGTTAAAGTGATCTTTAAGACTAATTTAAGTACCTAGACTATTGAGATGTTTACTGATTGCCTTAGTCTTTATTCTTTGGTTGGTTGGAACTTGAATGTTTCCTAAACCTGAGTGAAATTTTGGGGTTTTTCAGCTCCAGCTCCCTAGCCATTTCTTGGTAAATCATGTGGAGTTGTACTTTATTCATGCTTTTCTCGGTTTCTACTCAATGGGGTTTCTCTTTGTGTTTCTGGAGCTTTCTCTACTCCCTTCTCTCTGTCACTTAGTGCTGTGACTTTTATTTACTTTAGTCTCCTTGAACTTTGATCACCATTTCCTTATCTAAACAAGACCATTGTGCTTTGTTTTGAATCATCCTTCTTGCACTGTAGTCGAGAATATATCCCCACAGAGAAAGCTTGGACAATCATATGCTAATATGATAAGACTATATTTCAAATTCCTTTTTGTGTATGGTATGAGGTATAGAATTCAAAGTACATTTTGTATGTCTACATACCTATCCCATTGTGTAAGTACCATGTGTTTAAAAATGTACCTTTCCCCATCGAATTATATTGGCACTTTTATTGAAAACATGTATGAAGCTATTATTTTTTTTCAGCTCTTATCATTTTCTGTTCAACGGAAAGCGGAAATCATCGGACAATCTCTGATATTCCATACGAGTAAACTTTTACTATTACATAAATGGCTTGCAAGCACACTTTGACAGAGAACTTCCAGAGCTTCAAGCCAGATACAGAAGAGGCCGTGGAATGAGGGATATCATTGCTGATGTCCAGTGGATCTTGGCTGAAAGCAGAGAATATCAGAAAGATGTTTACCCATGCTTTATTGACTATGCAAAGGGTTTTGATTGTGTGGATCATGACAAGCTATGGACAACATTGTGAAGTATGAGTATTCCGGAACACTTAATTGTTCTCATGAGCAATCTGTACCTGGACTAAGAGGCAGTTGTTCGAACAGAACATGGGAACACTGAATGGTTCAAAATTAATAAATATGTGTGACAAGGTTGTATTCTTTCACTGTACTTATTCAACCTGCATGCTAAGCAAATAATCCCAGAAGCTGGGTTCTATGAAGAAAAACGTGGCATCAGGATTGGAGGAAGACTCATTAACAATGTGCAATATGCAGATGATACAACCTTACTTGCTGAATGTGCCTGACCGAAGCCATGGTATTTTCAATAACCTCATATGCATGTGAAAGCTAGACAGTGGATAAGGAAGACCATAGAAGAATTGATGCCTTTAAGTCATGATGTTGGAGGAGAATATTGAAAGTGCCATGGACTGCCATGGCTTGTGTCAGGCGCACCTTAGTCCTCAAGCTGACATCTCTGCTCTTCAACACTTTTAAAAGTTCCTGTGCAGCAGATTTGCCCAATGCAATACGTCGTCTGATCTCTTGACTGCTGCTTCCACGAGTGTTGATAGTTGATCCAAGAAAAATGAA